AAAAGTATGTTGTTTCATGATGAATAAGTAATCGTCATTGTTTTGAACGTTTTTCTTTCTTAATCTAAAGTGTTTATGAAACCTGAGGAAACCTGTGTAGTCCACAGGATACAAATATAATAGTTTGAGGGAAACGTTTTCATCTAAAACCTAAGCGCACTTTGATTTTAGTTGCAGAGATTGAAGTAAGTTTATTAATAAATTCAGAAGAGTTATCGGTAAGTAGTTAAAGAAGAAGTGTGGCTATTGTGAGTGTAGAAGTGTTGTATTTTAAAGCAGTAAGAAAGAATCAATATTATCAGCAACGCATTCAAAAACAAGTTATAAGAAAACACAACACTCTCTTGTTGCATAGTTACTCTTTAGCTGCAGACAGGCTTGTGAAATAACTTCAGTTAATGAATACAAAGGTATAGTAATCAAACCTGACATGCTTGATCTGAGTATTTTCCACTTGAACACGCATATATAGAATAAAGATATTATGGATACTTTTCAAATCGAAGGCGGAATCAATTAGCTTTGTTAAGAAAAGATTATAACTGTGATATGTAAGATCATATATTTGTCTGGAAATTGTCATGGCCAGTGCAACAGACAAGTGAAGATTACTGTTTTTAAGACGATAATAGTGTTAGTATCAAAGTTCATTCATTATACTTTTCATCTTCACTAGTGGCAATTATACCAGCTGAAGGAAACCTACATAACGAACAAAAATGATTTTATATTGAAAGTAGTTTCCACCTTACTGTTTAAATTTGTCAAGGTAAAAGTATCTGAAGCAAATAATAAATCTTTCAAGATTTGTAAATGAAATTTGTTTCAGAAGTAGCTTAGAAATCGGTTTTACATGAAATTTGTTCCATCCTACCAAAGCGAAAACAATTTACAAAGAAAGAGAAGCTAAATCTATCATGGTAAGTAGATTACGTTTATTTAACAAAACCATCAGATGACAACACCAGACTGCATCAACCTAAGAGGTAACTCAACACCACTATGGGTCTGGGAAAATATTTTATAGAGAACAATATGTTCTATTGAGTGTGGTGAAAATTCACTCCCACACTGATACTGTTTTTATTCTGGTAAAACAGAGGTTTCCAAGTATGAGTAGACAAAATGTGCAATCATATTACAGAGCTTTCTTTCTATCCATTTCAGTTACGTCAAACAGACACTAGAAGGAAGAAATTCAGTGAGATTATTTTTCACAATGAATTTCCTTTTAAGTTGTACATTAGGGCACATGTATACATATAATATATTTTGGGAACTGTAATACAGGAAGAAATTTCAACTTCAGTTTCTAGAATTCATAGTTCAAATACCACGCAGGGCTTTTACGGTCTCAATAATAATAGTTTTTATTAGTTGCTTACATACAAAATGTAGAGCAATTCGATTTCACTATCATCCAAATTTGGAATTTCGCGTTACTAATGGTACCGTGGATTGATCTGTTGTTCAGAGACTAGTTTTCGTATACTTATTTTCTCCTCATGTCATCGGTACCATCAACTACTCTGTCATCCAGTTACGTGCTGAGAGTGAATGCAGTTGTTCTTTAATTTACTAGGTTATCGCAGTGACAAATCACTATTCATTTTGTCCAACAATATTTCTTAGTTCAAAAAGTTGGTTTGATCCGGAATTATTGATCCGATCCGTTCCCTGGTTTATCATCAGACAACTAGTTTATTAGAATTGAGGGGTTTTGGGAGTCATGCACAATTACCTAATGGTTTCCTCAATTGAATACCAGCAGTCCGTTACGTTTGCGTAAGTTACCTTAATAATACAACTTATATTTCTTCCCATTAGATAAATGTTGGGAACACGTTTGTTTACTTAGTATATTCTCAGAAAGTAAAAAAACTGTCTATCCCTAAAATTTTAATTCCTTGCCTAACCCGCCTATCTCAACTAAAAGCATAAAAGAATAGCAACCACTTGATAAGAAATTGTGTGAGAGTTAGTTGTTACTTAAGTATTAGCTTCAGAATAGTTTCAACCACCAGCTGATATGAACTGGAGCACCACTGAAAGTCTAAGAGCCCTGGGTAACTCATTCTTCTTATTTTCAGACTCATTGACATCAAGCACTTACGGTTGAGTGCAAAATGACCACTGACACTCAACAAATTATTTTTTCATGAGGTTGTGGATCTGGGATGTTGAACAGTCTTGAACTTGAACGAAGTATCTTTCCAGAGATTTTTAGTTTCGAGTGGCTCTTGATTTGGTATTAGACCGTAATGAAATTTACTTTAGTATTAATTGTCCTCATTAATAGGTGGTTGAATTAATTTAATATTACTTGCAGACTTTAGGCCTAAATTATTGTTACAAGAAAGCGTCATGGTCTAGTTTAAGTGGTACAACATGTGGAAGCTTAAAGCAACTCAAAAGAAAATATTATTTTCGAAAGTCAGTTTATCATTAACATGGTAAAGACCTCTAGCGAAAGACCGAAGGATATTATATGTTCTTCACAGACATTTTTTCGGTGTTAATGAAAATAAAGCTCAAGTGTAGTCCCAAACGATTACGTCTAGTCGTATACAGCCCTTAGTGGTCATATGAAAGTGGCATCTGTTGGTAACTATAAGTTTCCATCAATCAGGAGTAATCAAAAACGCAAATGGAAAATCCAAGCCACCACTTGCAAGAAGCTGATAAGTTCACAGATTTGATTACGGATAGGTTAATAAGTTGTCAAGCTTTACGAAAACAAAACAATGTTTTACAGAAATATAATGAGTTCCTATTACTTCACCACCTTATTTTCAACTGCTCATAGTCTACAAAGTACAAAAGATACACAGGAAAAGAAATTTACTACAACGACCAAAAGGAAGATGGTCAATATATGGAAAACACTGAAAGTCACTGCATAGATTAAGGAGGTATAAGTGGAAAAAATTGAGTAGAATCAAATTTATTCAACGGTAGTGTAACCAAAGTATTATTTCGATACGTTTAGAAATAAAAACGGAGCAAAACAACTTTTATACAAGTGTGTGTGATAAGCTAATAATACAAATATGAGTGTTTGGTTCATAAAGGGTATCCCAGTTTACACCACAAGTCACCTTCAACTCCTGGGTACAACATTGTTGGGTTACAGTTTTAAAACTCAGGACCAACCTACCGATAATTTCCACCATACGAATGCCTGGTCCCAACTAAGCAGTTTTTATCATTCACCAAAATTAAACACGGTGATTGCAACCATGAAAGTTGGAGCTGAGGTCCAGCAAGTCCTAAGAGATGGATTACGTGGCTTACCAGTGATTTTTAAAGATATCAAGGCTGCCACTGAAAGATATGAGACTCCTAGAGCCGTTAAAAGATTTCTCAAGACTAAGTACCTAACATATTAGCCCAAAAAGACCTTAAACAATAGAACGATTGCCACTACTCATTATCGATTGTGGAATCATGGGTCATGTTTGGCGACAGAATTATAATGCCAAGGAGTTTTCGACAACTAGTGCTGAAGAAAATTCCACAGTGACCACCCAGGTGTAACTGGAATGATATCATCAAGGCGCGACCACGTATATCTACCTAAAATAGACCAAGAAAAAAACATGCGCCAATATTCTCTTTCTAGCATTTTTGAAGCAAGAAATCAAATTCTTTTCACAAACATGACCGATGACCGAAACTCCATAGGAAAGGTTCCACGTTCAGTTGCTGAGTCAATAGAAGGTAAAATGTATATTATTATTGTTGACGCACACAGAAAATTGCCTGAAATTTTCTATATGCTACAATGCACGACGAAGGCTACTATTGCCAAACTGATCAGTTTGTTTAGATGCTTCGGTGTTGTCGAAACCATGGTAACCGATTATAGTACATAATTTACTTCAGCAGCATTTTCAACTTTCTGCGGACAATATGCAATACATCACTTATGTTCTGCACCTTGTCACCCACATTCTTGTTCCACGTGAATAACAATTTGTTGAATTCTATCTTTGATATGGATATTGCGTTTTCAGGCCTGATGTTGGCAAAACATGCTGAAATATGACACCATCAGTTTGTTTTTGGTATTAGTTACACCTACTTCCTGTTCAAATTTGCATGTTTTCAGATTAAATCTATCTGGTTTTTTTTTAATAGGGTTTTATCAAAATTCCTACCATCAGGGTAACTTGGGGAAGATGAAGTTGTTAATAGGCAAAATCGGTATGAATCTTACTTTAGATACATGATGCCTCATTAATACTCTTATGTTCTGTTCCTTTTACCAGATAATTCGTTCTAAATTCTCTCCCAGCATTTCTTGAAAGTTCATCAATTTCATGACGAAGAAAATGTAAGGTTCACGATTGTGCAGTGGTTGGGCATCTATATGTTCAGGTGCATCGTCAATTGACAAGCCCCTTAAAAAATAGGGAGTACTTTGGAAACGTCTCAGGTATATCTTGTCAACAAATGCGAGGAAAAGCTAAACTTCAAACCAGATTTACTCTTCGCTTTCCCTCGTCTATTTCAGAGCAGTTATACTGACATATTTATTTATGACACTAGATGTAGTTTGTATTAATGTAAGTTACATCGTTTCTAAAATGAAGCAATTCTAAAGTTTTGCATAGAAGTCTGGTTCCAATTTCTTCAGGTAGATAGTCAAAATTAAAATATCAAGGATATTTAAGTGAATCCAAAGACGGATACATAATCTTGTCCAATTATTTTCGAATAGCCGTTGTCTTTCTTAAATATGATTACTAATCACTCAGTGTGAAGTTTTATGAGTAACATGTGTGAATTAGTGTGTTATTATTTTTATTCTCCTTAGTTGTAAATACGAAAAGACCACAGGTGACATTGTGGTCATTAGGTAATTTATTTGAGTATGCATGAGAGATTAAATATAAGAATCGAAATATGGCCACAAGTATATAAGGCTATTTACTCCATATATAATCTCTTGAAAAAAAATAATTTACACAACTTGTAAGATTAGGTTGGAACTTAATATGCGAGGTGGACCTCGTCATTTCGGTACAGTATTATTCCAATATGGTCCTTTTATACACTCATCACACGGAAAGGTAGCGTTATTTTCTGACAATGTTTCTGGTAGAACTTACTTTATTAATCTTAACACTTTTCAAGACACCAATTTCCATGTATATGATTATTATTTCTTACTCTTTAAGTGAATGATCGCAACTGAATTATGGTTATTATGGTTGACTAGATTACTTATCGTATTAAATTAGTTTTGGATTGCTTTTTAATTTCCTTCAAATGCTTTCATCAAATAATATTTTCACATTTGCAATGAAAACATTTTTCCGAGCAGTTAGCGACTCAATCTCAAATGAATATATTTCATTTCGATAATTTCCTTTTGCAATGATAATGGTGAAAAATTATTTATTCATAGTTCGATCAAATGACAGCCATGTAAAAAACCTCCCAGATCAACGTAAATCAAAAACTGACATTGATATGAATCTCGGATACTATAGTAGGCTATAATTCCATTTCAGTTTGGTCATTAGGCATGTCACATACAGAAACATTGTCACTCACTGGATTACAATTGATTGTCCATACTCATATCAAGTGACTGCATAAATTCAAAGTTCAATTGATGCAGACAGTCCCAATTCTTTCTCCTTCTCTGTGATGTGAGTTGTGGAATTCTCCATACATCTGGAACAGGTGCCTAGTCATCATTCTATGAGCAGAGATTCGGTTATCAATCTGTGTTAGCGTTTATGATGTCGCTCTGTGCCACCGCATTCTGTGGAACAGTGTAATGGCATGCATAGTTATAGGCAAGCTTTCCTCTAATTCCTAGTTATCATTTTAAGGCCTACCAATCTTGATTTGGCTGAGCTTTTGTGCTCAGACAGTCTAATTGAGCCGTGTCGACTGCTTTGACTAATGTGTCTGATCTTGTCATAATTAGAAGAGATTTGGTAGAGCAATTCGTTTGTGAGATTCGGTGGTTAGGTCCTCTTAACCTACACATTTGCTTCGAGGTGAGTTTGTAGTAGCTGGATTTTGTAAATATCTTGACCATACCTGTAGCCATAGGTGGTAATTTCCAAATAAGTAGAAATACTATATACGGTTTTCCTTTTCGCTCGACTCCGTAAATGTTTTTATTTCTTCGGGTTTCTGAAAGATCAAGGAAATGAATATGCTTTATTATTTGAATAACGTGCTGATAAAATAAAAATTGACAGGACGGATGTTTCTTTCCAGTATGATGCTCAACAAGAGTTGGTGGTTTCGACCGAAAATCTCTCCCAATTTATTTCATTCCTAGGCTTCCATTTTATTTTCATCTTTGTGAAATTATCGATAATGCAGTATGTGATATATTAAAAATGGTCTACTAAGAAGCTCATTTCAGCTGAAGTAAAGTACTTACTCACTCAAATTTTGGAAGCAGTAATTCAGAAATAATTTTAGCAGTCACCAATTTTCCATAGACTCAATAAATTTTTAATGCAATTATTTGTCTCTTTTTAGTGATTTTTTTTAACTTCATGGACCGTGCACTTATGCAACCAGTTATTTACTTCTTTTCTGGATGAAGTTTAGGTTGTTACGAGGAATTTAAATGTGATTTACTAGGTATCAGCTTGCTGCTTTAATTAGTTTACTAAACTTTATGGATCAGTCTGAGTCACCTCAAAGAAGTTTACGATTCATCGATCATCAATTCCTCATGAATTGTGATGAGTTGAATAGAGAGTACAGCAGATAGTGAGACATAGTAATAATGTTTGTTTGATTCTTATTCAGAATCAAATACGAAGGGAAATCCAATTTTTATTTAAATGTTTGTGTCAGTGGGGATAGAAAAAATATTCTCATTTTAGTCCTGCCAGAACTCAGATATCGTTTTAACCAGATTCAGTATTTGTGTATTTGTTTGATCAGTCTACTATGCTATCTCAGATAATTCATTTAGTAAAAATATATTTAATCATGTGCTTGTAAAACTATATAAGCGATGGATGAACAAATCTCATGAAGTTTCTTAAAACTTAATAAAAACACACTGATCATCATAAGATTCTTATTTGTGCCTCAGTTGTCATGACTGGGAAACAAGTTGAGGAGTGGTCATAAAAAAATATGACTTTCTGGTTTGAACATGGTTGTAGTTCAATGCGAATGGGATTCTAAAAAGCTGGGAAAATCGGTTTTATCTTCTTAAATCATGTATATGTTAGATTCCTCACCACTCAGTTATTTTCTGAAAGTCAAAGTTCTATTGCTTTCATCCATAAAATAATTTTACTTATTCAAATTACCCATATTATATACTTATGTAAATGAAAGGAAGTGAATGTTCCGCTTACTTAGAAAAAGGAAAACTGGTGAAACAGTTAATCCTCTTTATAAATTTCAACAAAATGATAAGAAGATATAATTTATCTAAATAAGCAGTGTCTTCACATAATACGTCTTGTATTGTCTAGTTACATACGTACTTGTCATGCAAATTTATATGAAATATAACAAAGAGTAAATGGGTTAGTATAATAGTCGAGTAATGAAGAGTAAAATTGTTTGTTTAGATATGAATTCGTAGGTGAAAAGGGACGAAATATGCGTTAAATTAATCACCTTTGGTATTATATTTCACCTTCCAAGAGAGGATCAAAACAACAAATTACTGTTTATGAATGCATAAAAGGAGACTTAACCCCTTATAACTACAGCTTCAACAAACCTAAGTAAGTGCTTCCAGTGGGTTTTCTGAATAGTTTCTTAAGACCTATTTAGATCAACCTATAAACCTGCCTGATACTATTTTTGGCTATAGATGAAGTTGGATACCTATTGCCTGGGTCAACATGATTTTTAGACTTTATTTTTAATGGCAGTCATTTAATAATTTAATTCATGACTCCTACGCACCCTTTCTAAGTATATGTGACCTTTAAAACATGTACACCTTTAAATGTAATCGGGCGCGACCTCATCTTTTAAATGCGGTGAGCCATAACAAAAACAAAAAAGCTTCGTCTTATATTCGATACAGACTTTCGCTGCCTCGAATATTCTTCGGTAAGCCGGTTTGATGCTTACACTTTGTGTGTTGCACACATATTTGAGTGTGGTGCGAGAGTCTTTCTCTGGAACTGACTAATCAATGATTGTATTTTTGCTGGGTATTCCTTTATCTGTTAATGGTCTCCAGAGGATAACTTTTGTCTAACACTACTTGGATAACTTATAATCTGTTCCTAATTTGAGTATGTAACTTGCTTCATAGGTTATGTACACTTGTTAGCGTAAGTTTATACTACTGGCATATTCCTCAGAGTAATTTAATGGTATTAGACCAGGCAGTCACAATCTGCTGGCTAACCAGCAGTGAATAATAATTCCTAAAACTGGAAAACAATATTAGTTACTACCTAAAAGTCCCAATGAAGAGCCTTGGTAGTTTGGGTTTTCTAATCACGTTTTTGTCATTCATGTAGATTATTTAAAACTGTTTTGCACTTTGATTCTAACCCATTTATTAAGACGTGGTTTCTTCCTAACTTCTGTAGCGCTGGACAGATCATATTCTCAAGTGGAATCCTGATAATTATTCACAAATTCAAGAAGTACGTGTGCCATATAAGCATATATGGACACCGGATATTGTGCTGTATAACTAGTAAGTTAATTTACATGGAAGGTTTTGCCTGCCTAGTTTTGACTGAAAAATGTGGCACAGTTTTCAGTTATTGGGTATTATTTATCACTGCAAGACATCAAAGTCTGGGTTATCAACACTATTTTGAAATCCTGTAGGCATAATTTATACCACGCTTAACGTTGCATTTGCATTTTCAAGATAAAGTTCTCACATAGGTTGACTGATATATGCTTATAAACCGAACAGTGAATTGAATAAAGTTTTTAATTCTAAAAGCTAGCGAAAGGTATGATTATAAATTAACTTTGTTTACTAGATAACTGGTCTTCGGAGAAATCCAAAAATTTCCAACAGTAAAAGCGTTGAAATGAAGTGTTTTAAAAAGTTTAATTTAGTACCGTAGACGCAGAAAAGTGTTACACAGTGATTTCATTGCAAAGATGAACTTGCAGTTTCTATGGCATAGGAGGGTTTATATTACCGTTTCGAGTTCTTTTCCTTTCATTCGAACGTGACTAGGTCTTATTGTTTGTATTTGATAGTAGTCTATGAGACCTATAAATGTGGTCATTTTTAGCTCCAAAAATTAAATCAGAATATATTAATATACAGGTATGATGGACACATTGTAATCAACTAGTTCTGTACTTTTTGAAAAAGCAACTGTAAGCAAGTAAGAACAGAATCATACTGAAATGTTGTGAAAACTACGAAATGTCAATCGAGAAAGTGATTGGTTAAGATTAGAGGTAATCTGGACAGGCCCAGTTATAGAGTGAACAGTCATTAATTTAAGAGAATTAAGCCACTTAAATAAACCCAGGTCTTATCATATCCGGCTTCAGATTATTGTTTAGATAATCAAACCAGTGTTTTAACACCTGTTTATATTAGAGTGGCAAAGTAGTTTGAAGTATTGGAGGGTTTTATGGCATGATCTTACAGATTCCTAGCAACAGAATAATAAAATGCATATGGAACACTGTAAAAAATGTGTTTTCAGACATGATTTGGGCAACATAGAGAGCCTTCTCTGATCGAAGTTTGACGAACACCTTGCTGTTTGTTTATATCCGTATACCAGATGGCTACAATACAGAGTTGCTAAAGGGATATTAATTTCTAGAAGTAAACTTTTTATGATGAACTACATAATGATGTTAAACCATAAGCAATTACGTAAGTGATCACTGTTCGAAAATTGTTCCAGGCAATTTTGTCTTGACTCATTCAATGAATAAGATGCGAATCTTGGATAAAAATTTTTTTTGTTTTCCTATTCAATGGCAGTGCCTTTCTATAGCAATTACGAACCCTTTTCTACATGGACTGTCTATCCACGATTCTACAATGCCGGACTAACCGAATAATGCTTTGAAAGATATTTTAAACAAACTTAGTCAGTGACGCTAGAAATACTGATAGCAAAGTGGTTGTTTCTTTCAGGATTATTTACGTTAATGCATTCCTTTGAAAGTTCTAAAATATTCTACAATTTCTGCGTGTATGCATATATACAAACGTCCTGTTTCTTGTATTTACTGAATTGATTATCAAAGGAAATCAAGAAAACGCTTAAAGATATAAAGTAGTAACTACTGAGTGGAATTCTGACATAATTTTGAAGTGATCAAAGTTACCACTTGGACGATTTAATATTGAAAACAGCTATATAAATCCTCACTTACCACTGAGACAAATTTACCTTTCTACATCAGTTTACTGCTCAATGTAAGTCTTCAGAAGTGAACATCGAGTAAAATCTGCGAATAAACGTTTGTTCGTCTATATGTTACGAAGAAAAGCTATCGTGTTTTTTTGCTCTTAGGTATATGATTCAAAATTAAGGGATATACCTCATTAAAACTAAGTAGCGATAGTGAATTATACTTTGAATTGCACCAGTCGTAGCCGTTGTTGTCAGTTTAAAAGCAGTTTTACTGTCCATACTAATAAGATATCACCCTTTGCAATCGAAATCATGAGGAATATCTATATTAGCAGTGAGCTTCACAGTAATGGGGCTTCGAAATTAATTCGAGTTTAAAAACGGTTGGAATCAGACGAGCAGAAACATTTTTTGACAAAACAGACATTTACCCTATTCCATATGCAGTGACAAATGTAAATTCGGTTGTGTCTTGCATCAGGGTCTTGTGTTTGCGAAAATGAAATTCATTCATGGGAAATATACGCATCATAACATTCCTGATGCTTCCCATATTTAAAATGTAATCGCTGGTTGAGAGATTTGACATCACACTGATTATCTACTCTAAAACATCACAGTCAGCTCTACGAAAGGCGTAATTGGAAGCAAGAAATGTAAGTTATTATGTTATAATAATTCGATGCTACGTAGATTTTTCATGCACTAAGGTGTTAGGTGACTACAAGCATGTCAAAGATGAATATTTATCACATAAATGCACAAGCCGTCAGCTAACAATTATTCTTTTTTCAATTTTTTGTTAAGCAGACAATATTAAAATGCGTATATAGAAAGATCTGAGGGAAATTACACATAACAGCAAGGTAAACAAAATACTGGATCATAAAAACGACTTCAAACATTACTCGGTAAAATAATTCAACTTTGAATATCTTGGATTTAAGGCAAAATCAGATACCTAGGACAAGCTAACGAAGAATATACATGTTTCACAAAGGAGGAGTTTGAAAGTTCATGCGGCTTGCTTTGTATTCCTGTATTCTTTCAATAGCTTGTTATTTTGAATCAGCAACATAAACAGATGTTACAGAATGTGGTGCCGTGATGACGAACTTCTCCATTTTAAAACGTATTCCAACTACCGTAAATGTTTGTTGTAACAACAAACAAACTGTGAATTTCTTCTGAAGTAATATGTTTATAGATTGGTGAAAAATTCGGTAGTTACATCCAAAACTTAATGAGTTTTATAAATTTAAGCTTGTACACTTGTGAACAATGACACACTTGACCTTATGCCATTCATATCCCTGTTACTGACCATTATGCCAAATTACTGAAATAAGATAAAACATTATTAGATGTTTTTGATATCTTTTAATTTCTGCTTTCTAAATGTTTTAATACTCTTCAGCGCTGATGAAAGATTAAAAGAAATGCGTGATGCTATGATAATCGTTCAACATACTGGTGACCTTACATGGATTCCACCTGCCATTTTCAAATCTTCATGTAAAATTGATATAAAGTCATTTCCGTTTGACGAACAAACCTGTCATCTTAAATTTGGTTCTTGGACATATGATGGAAATAAGTTAGATGTTAAATTTATCAATAATGAAGCACAAGTCCTCCTCAGCGATTATACAGAAAGCAATGAGTGGGAGATAATTGCCCGTCCAGCTCTAAGAAATGTGAAGTCTTATCCATGTTGTCCAGAGTTTTATCCTGATTTAACATTTTTCTTGTTGTAAGTGTAGCATTTTTAAATAACTTAAACATTTACCGATTTGTAGCAAAAAGTGAGTGAAAAGAAGAGTATTGGAACAAATGTATCTTGAGAGAATCGGTTCTATCAATGTAGTGTTGTCAGCAACGTCGTTTGCAGGGTTGTGACCAATTTATTTATTATATTTTGTAAGTCCCTTGTGTTCCTAAAGGAACATAGAGCTTCAGTAGCACGTCTCCAGTGCACTCTCATCTCTGAAATGTTTTGAACCTGGCTCCATGACTGCCCACAACCTCTCATTTCTTCCTCACATGATCTCCTCCATGTCACCCTTGCCTCGGACGCCCAACTCCTCATTTCTCATCTGGGTTCCACTCGACGGCCTGATCTGAGGCGTGATGTCCCCAGTCGGCCTTCTCAATGTATGCCTAATCCTTCAATGGACCTGGTCTAAAAGGAAAAATTCATATATTAATCAAGAAGTTGTTCAGCATCCGTAGATACATTGGTGAATTAGAATGCAAGCACATGGTCAGAAAAACTATGAACAGCTGGTGAACAACTTCAATTAACTTAAATCAACTGCCTTTAGAAAAAGCAAGAATACCGAAATAAAGAAGTTCAACCAACTAACGGAAGAAAAGTATCCAGTCAAGAATGATGAGACTTCTAATACCACATCACTAGTCATTGATAAAATTGAGTGAATGATTTATCTTTCAACTACAGACTTAAGCTCAACACTGGTAAATGTACTTAAAAGTAGACTTAGATTCGATATAGAAGCTAATGAATTGAAACTTGAAGATATTCATAATACTGAAGAAGTATCAATTTCACCATATAAGACAGTTCCCAATTAAGTACTAGTGTGATGCTCGCTAATACTAAAGTAACGCTGAGGTAGAAATGATGTATATATAGTAACTCAAACAGAAGGGACAGTAGAGTCAAAATAATCTGATTATATTCAGAAAGTCAACGAATATATAGACGTCGGACGGTATGAGGGGATTACGAAACCAAAAGGAGACACTATGAACAATGAAAAATTTCAAGGAATGCTGAAAAATAATGATATCACTGGGATTTATGGTACTTTTAAAGTTTACAAGCCAGACCATGTCATCATTCCCACAGTAAACTCTAGAAACAATCCAGATTATGAGTTATGTTAATATCAATCAACTGCATTAGGTCTGGTTAAAAGCCGTTCCGTATCTAGACTTATTGATTATGCATTTAAATGACAGTTAAAAATGGTTGGTTTTAATATTACTAGTCTGTATACTAATATTCTGATTGAGATGGTTTTGAAGACAGTTAGAACCAAAGTGAGTGATGACCATTAGCTTCAGCTTCGAGATCAGGTGCCCGCAGTAGAGATCATACCACGATAACAGCTATTACATTATATCATTTGTCCCTTGGGTTCCTAATGGAACATAGAGCTTCAGTAGCACGTCTCCAGTGCACTCTCATCTCTGAAATGTTTTGAACCTGGCTCCATGACTGCCCACAACCTCTCATTTCTTCCTCACATGATCTCCTCCATGTCACCCTTGCCTCGGACGCCCAACTCCTCATTTCTCATCTGGGTTCCACTCGACGGCCTGATCTGAGGCGTGATGTCCCCAGTCGGCCTTCTCAATGTATGCCCAATCCATCTCCACTTCCTTCCAATGCATATTTGTTCAGCGATAGCTTCTTGGTTGACTCGTTAACTGCCAGAGTTCCTCTTTGCTTATTATTTCTAGCCATCTGATCTTCAGTAACGAGCCAGTATAGTGGGCAGTTGTTGATGAATGTCTGTAGTTTGTTGAAAATCCCTTTCGTAACGCGCCAAGTCTCTGAACCATACAGAAGCACTGACTTGACTGAAGTTGGTGTTGAAAATCCGGATCTTGTTCCACATGCTGAGTGGAGTGCAGAAGATCTCCACACTGGTTTCAGGCTAATGAACGCCTGTCTTGCTTTTCCGATTC